AGTGTTCCATCTCGTTTCCCTTTGGGTTGCTGTAGGTGATCTGGAAGTCTGTTTTTGAGGCTTGTTTATGTGTCTTCTCATTTCCACGGGGGGGGTGTGTGTGTGTGTGTGCTTCTGGCACCCGCACGGCTCACCTTCTCTGTCCTAGGAGCTTGGAATGGCAGCAGGGGAGCTTCCTTGCGGGTGCTGGGACCAGCTCAGCTTCTCTGCCCTAGGAGCTTGGGATGGTGGTGGGGGAGCTTCCTTCTGGGTGCTGGGACCGGCTCGAAATATCTTTTTTTTGAACATTGCTGTTTTATGTATATTGAAAGTAGTATTTGCTTGCTATACCTAAAGACAAACAAACAGGAAAAATGGAAAGCCATTAGGCTTGCCCCTGTGGCACATTTCACAGGGGTCATCTTCCCAGCCGTAAATGCTGGCTCTGGTGCGGGCAGCCTTCGTCCCCAGCTCCCTCCCTCTTCTCCCCTGTCTCTGCCCCCCCTCACTGCTTCAGCCCAGCAGACCCCAGCAGCGTGCCAGGTGCCCGGCGTGCAGCGTGACTGGAGGGGAAGAGCACTCTTCTGCTGCCATGGCCCAGCCCAGGGCACACAGGTCTGTGCAGGGACTTGAAGTGGAATCTGAAAGAGCCTTAGTAGTTCTGTCCTCTCAGAGTTGATCAGTCAAGACACACTCTGTCTTCTACTCATGAGGCCAAAATGTTTCCTCTGTATTCGAATGGATGTTTGGTAATGAGATCTGTGCTAAGCATCTAATAAGGTTTAGTGTCTATCCTTACAGCCTCATCATTTTAATATAAGGGGTAATGCAGCGGGCTTTCTGGTGATAAATGCTAAGTGGAAGTGTCCTTAGAGTCATTTAAAAAAATTAATGGTTTATTTTGCCAAAAGGGAAAAACTAAAATCATAAATGGAAGGTAGGATTATTTTTAGTTGAGAGTGTTAATGAGATAGATACCCTTCCTATATTTACAGATCTTTTTTGGTCTCTTTTGTAGTTTACAAACTATTTTCCACATCATAGATATTCAGATATTTGAAGAAAAATTCTCTTATACAGCCTCAGTTTTAATAATTGTTGGTTACATGATGGAGTTTCTCAGTGTTTCACCATTGGTAATTTTTTGACTGAATCTGCCGTTTTGTCTGAAAACATAGGGTATGAGTTTATAAAGTAGCCTTCAGCGACCATATTTTCAGAAAGAGAGGACGGCTTCTTGTGTTCCTCCTTTTCTTGTGTACCCATTAGTTCATTGCTGCTTAGTTTCCCCCTCTAAAGTACTGCTGAGCCATCTGGGGTAAATACTAGTTTGTAATTGATTGTTGGCCCGGTTTACCATTACTTAACAAATTTTATGATAGCTGTATAGTTGTAAATGGAATGATTGCAGAAGCTATATCAGCTCATTAATTTTTCTTTTAAAATTTTTGTTTTCAATGTTATGATTTATTTACTTGCAACTTTTTTCTTGCTTTTTCTTTTTGATTTTCTTTTTGATTTTTTTATTTTACATTACAGACAAACAGAAACTTCCTCCTTTTATCTTTCCGTTCTCTGATTTATGATAAATTGGGTTTCCTTTGGCCTGGCATTTGCTTCAGCAGGCAGTCTTCCTTCAAGTACCTCCCTGATTGATGTATAATCTTTGATATCTTCCATTAGCCTCCAGGATCACTAAGTTCAAGGCCCCCTTGGAACCTAAGGAGCCCCGCCGAGGAGCTGAAGGCCTTCCGAGTCCTTGGGGTGATTGACAAGGTAATTCTTCAGTGTCTCTTCAAGAGTTCAGTCATAAATCGACTGCATGCTGACATTCTGTCTTTGAAGCTTTGGATCTTAAGGATATGAAACAAAAGGAGAAAATGACTCAAATGCATCTGCACTTTAAAATAACAAAAGCAGAAGAGAAAAAGCTTTTATCTAAGCAATTCATGTAAGGTCATGCAAAATATATTTGAGCAGAAGGAGCAGGTACATATTTGTGGGCATTCAGTTGAGTAAGGGGTTTTATTTTATAAAAGTGGTATAGCAGGAAGACACTTTGTGTAAGCTACACTTGTGAGTCAGTATTGTTCAACGTTATTGGCATAGTCATTTTAATGGTCAAAAAGAAAAAGCGGCATTGAGTACCACTTACTGAGCACCTCTTGTGGGTAAGACCTTATATTAGGCCTTGCATACAAAGCCGTTTATTTTGTTCTTCTCAAAATCCAGTTAAAGTATTTGCATCTTTGTGGGAAAGTGTTAAACATGCTAAGTAACTTGTCCCAAAGTCACACAGCTCATTTAGGGGAATTCTGGGATTTAAACTGTGATATTTGTTGAACTCCCCAACTGTGCTTTTTTCCAGTACTTTAAATCCCCTCTACACACACCCATGCGCGCACACATGAACACACACACTCTTTTATACTTGCAATAAAAAATACTGAGTTAACAGATGCAGGTTGATGAGCCAACATGCAAGTTTGGGGATATCTCAGATATACCCGATAGTAATAATGCTAGACTTGTCAGTAGGTTATGATTGTAATTTAAAATCCATAGACATTAAGCCACATTTTAAATGTATTTGATCACCTACCACTTTACCATCACAGTAAAATAAAATGCCTTATTTAATATTAAGGCATAAATTAATCTAGATCTTTTTCATCATTAAACATCTTTTCTGAAGCACCTTGATGTTCATCTGTAATGCTTCTTGTGTTCATTGTGCATTTCTTGTGTTCTTAGCTATGCATGTGATTCTTTGCTAAAATAAATATGCAATAAATTTCATGCAATTTGGACAATAATTAATGGTTTGAGGTATTCCTTTTTTTTTTTTTTTTTGGGTACTGGGGATCGAACTTGGAATGTTGCGCTTGTGAGGCAGGCGGCGGAAACACTGAGCTAAATCCCAGGCCTGGTTTGAGGTATTCTAAAGGGAACATTAGGTAGTATATTTCATGAAGTTCTGTTTTATTCTCACAAGCATAATTTTTCTCACATTTATATGATGGAAGTCTGACTTGAGAAATTGTAAGCAGTGTAGGTGGACTTTTTTGTTGTTGTTATAGAGTCTGAAGCGTTCCCTTAACCATTGTTTCTGCAGCCTTTTCATTGTGAGAATATCCTGCTTGAGAGTGAGCAGAAGCAAAATAGTAATGGAGTAGTTGCTAGTGCTTGGATTTCTGTGCAGATAACTCTGCTTTCTTGCTACATAGCTTTTGCCTTCTCTCTGAGGCTTTTCTTTTAACATGACGTGACCTTTCATTGCTATGGGGTAAGCTGCAAATCACCTGGAAGTCCTGGTAACGAGCATGCAGGTTGGTCTAAAGGACTTTCGGCAGTGGAGGCATTCCTGAATTCTGTCCTGGCGCCTAATTCCTTACTCTTTATTCTGTTAACCTGGAAAATGTGGTTGGTGTTGAGCAGATGACATTTTTAAAGTAAAGCTAAGGAAATATGTGTCTTGGGAATAAACTTTGCTCATACATCTTTTAGAATTTATAATATGGTGTCTGATAAAAACATGAGCAGGCAGATTTTTAAAAATTGGAGTTGTTCAAGGTGAATTCCTTTCTGTTGTACTGAGGAATATTCGACACATAATGTGTACCAATAAATATTTGTTGAATAAATGAATTGAAATAATTTAAAACGTATCATCGATAGAGTGACACCTACTGTTATAATGTGAGACTGCTACTTAGTATCATACAAGGAGGCTGACTACCCAGTAGGTGTTTTTACCCAGAGGGGCAGTAATTCTTCCATAGCTGTATGTTGGTTTAGTATTCAAAGAGAAATAAATGACTTTCTGTTCTTTAATTGGGATTGTAAAATCCTTCATTAAAAGTTATGCAACAAGAGATTTAAGTGTTAAGGCTCTTGGAAAATAAGTAAGCTTGTGTGCATTCAGTTGTGAAAATGATCCGGCCAGTGAAGGCCCTCAAAATCGTATCATGGGAGGAACAGCTGAAAAACAAGAAGATTTTCAACCTCATAATGCTATGTGAGGTCTTCATATATTTGAGGGCTGTCTTGGACAGAGAAACTATGTCAGGTTTTGTTTAAACCTTCAGGGTTAAACAGTTTCTCAACTACAGACTAGGGTTATCTCAGACAAATCAAGATGCTAGATTTTGCTGGGAGGAAGGCAGTAAGGGTTGAACGTTGACTGTTAAAATCATCTACAGGAGGGCCAAGGATTTAGCTCAGTGGTTCTGCCGCCTGCCTCCCAAGCACAAGGTCCCAAGTTCGATCCCTGGTAAAGCCCCCTGCCAAAAAAAAATCATCTACAGGGTGCAGCTAGGACTAAGGAGTATAAGCTTGAGAACAGTGAATTTTGGCTTATGATTAGAAATACATTTCAAGAATTACTATCTTGAGTCTGGGGTATAGCACAGTGGTAGAGTGTTTGCCTAGCATGTGTGAGGCCCTATATTCCATCCCCAGCACTACTGTCTCTCTCTCTCTCTCTCTCTCTCTCTCTCTTTTTCTCCCCCCCCCCCCCACACAACTTGTACCTTGACCAAAGGCAGACTGGATTTCTTCAGATCTTATGAGCTTCTTGTTAGTAGAGATATTCAAGTGAAGGCTGAAGATCAGTGGTGGAGGTATTGTAGAGGGAATTCAAACATTTGGATGTGTTTTTACATTAGATAACTTCTAAAAATTTCTTTAAGCCCCAGATTCATTTGCACATGGTCTTCATGTAGCAAAAGCAGGGGAGAGAAGAAATTAGTGCAAGAACTGTGTTGGAATGAGGAAGATGAATTACTGTTACAGTCATACAGGTCTTTGCATATTTAGTTGCAGTATTTTGTGTTGTGTATATGTGATATGAATATGTGTAGTGTGTGTATAGGATTTCTTATATATAGGTATTTTATAATTGTGTTGGAAGTCTAGATTGGTCTTTTGATCAGTAGTAGGATACTCAAAAGCCAGAGTGTTTCTGAGAAAGTTTGCTATTATATAATATAACTTATCTGTAAAAGGATAAAGGAGCCCATAGTGCAGTTAACAGTAATGTACCAATGATCTGTTTCCTGATTTTTATATTGTATTACAGCTATAGAAGATGTCCTTCTGTGGGGGGAAGCTGGGCAAAGGGTAAATGGGACTCTTTGTACTATTGTGGCAACTTCCTGTAAGTTAAAAGAAGTTAGAAGAAAAGAAAAAAGCTGAAGGGAACACTGACTTGAATACCACAGCGAAAATATCAAGATTTGTCCCTTCACTGCCAGTTAATGCTTTTGGCTTAAGTGTCACTAGAGTGTCACCCTATGTGTGGGTGTTCACATGAAAGCAAGACCAATAAAGATACTGCTACCTTATGAAAAATAACTTAAATAGGTTGTTTTTCAGATTAGGGTTATAAGAAACCCATTGTTATTTATTAGGTTGGGTGCCTTGGCATTTTGTAGCCGCCTAAGTTTATCTGATGTTTTCGCTGATGAGGCAGAGTTTTTAGGTTAGCATGTCATTGGACAAATACTGGAGTTTCTATTTTGTAGCTAAAATATGAGGGAGAAAATTTGTGGAGGTTGTTCAAATTGAATAGATCTCAAAAGACTGGCACTTGCTGTCCTTAAGGTACCTAAGACACTGAGGTACCTTAGAGTACCTTAGGTGCACTTAGGTACACTTAGGTACACTAGGTACACTAAGGTACACTTAGGTGCCTAAGGGTACTTAAGGTACCCTTATATTTTCCTAGAGGAAAATATAAGGGAAAACTGTCTTCACTGGAATTGCAGATGTATCAATATTTGGATATTTTCTCATTTAAGAAACACTGGGTAGAACTGGTTTAACCTGAAAGGATTCCTATGTGTACTTCATCTACAGTGTGACCAAAATATTACCTGGGAACTTTAATGGTATCATGTGACAATAAATTGCACTTTTGCTTCTGGGAAAATGGAGTAGAGGTCCTTTTCCCTATTTCTTCTGCTAAATAGGGACAAACTCTGGATATTACATAGAAAACAAAGCTAAGTAGATTGAAAAGTGGAGAGAAGAAGGAAGACTGGCTACTGACCTAAAGAACTGCAAGGTGGTGAGTTCTCTGGTTTTCTTTTTGCCTTGTATGTCTCAGATTGGATTTTGGAGAAATGGGTAACTTGGATAAGCCAAGAAGTGCAGACCAAAACAAAACAAAACAAAACAAAACAAATACCCCAAACAAAAGTCTATTCTTTCTAGCCAAAGCTTAGTAAGAGAAAAAACTTCAACCAAAACACCATACAATAACTGCTGTGTTCTAGACCAGCACCACCGAAAAACTGGGGCGTCTTTCCGTTCCTACTAACAAAGGCCAAGTGGGGCTTCTGTACCTCTGTCCTTGCCGGATGGAGCCAGGTGCCTCACGCCCTTGCTGGCCCAGGGTCAGAGGAAGCTTGCTGGAGATTCAGGACCCTGACACTACCCAGTGGTAGAGACAAGTGACAGGATGCCAGGTTCTTCTGGGACAGGGTGTATCAGTGAAGCTCTGAGCCTCTCTACCTTCATTGAGTAGTAACCAGGAGTTCCAGTTTCTTTCCTCAGATATCAGTGAAGGCTGAATGGAGAAGCTAATCTTGAGTATAGTGATTATCTCTGTTCCCTCAGAGTGATGTCAGAGGGTAGGGCCTCTGAGTTATACACTTACTAAGATCTTGACCCTAATAACATAACACCAAAAAGTCCAGCTTTCCGTGGAAAGCCACCTGTCATATAGGAACTAGGAAGAGCTCAGCTTGAATGAGAAAAGAAAACCCACTATT